TGTGTGTGTGTGTGCGTGCTTGTGCTTGTGCTTGTGCTTGTGCTTGTGTGATAAAATGTCCTTTTGCATCCAATGCACAGAAATTAAATCATTTTTCATTTTACCGTCAATCCCTGAGTGGATTCAAACTTTTTTTTTACCTTGCTTAAGTTAGATTGCATAATGCAGTGTCTGAGGCACTCATTTCTGTCTGGTAAAGAAAAGAATTACTGTCCAGCCATGAAAAACCTCGGATCTGAGAAAGCAGGCTTGATCCGAGCTCTTTTCAAACAGCGCTGTAAAGCATCAGTACAACGTCATGAGTCAGAAATAAAGTTTTCCTAGCCGTACGTGGAGTGAATATGGGATAGAATAATCTACTATTACATTGTAGTTGTTATTAATAACCAAAATGGTTATTGACCCATTTTGGTCAATAACCACCATGGCCAAAGTGGCTTGGCACCACTGATTCAGCCTCACACTGGACTTGAGATGCGAAAGATGATGACAAAGATTTTTTTTCAGTAAATTCTCTGGGTCACTTTACAGTACCTGTGTTGCCCTGACACAGGTACTGACTCCTGACTCCAGGTCTGTCTGTGAGGAGGACGTGTGGTTTGACACGGTCAGTTTCTGAAGAGCACTGCCACCATTGCAGTTTTGCTGCACCTCACAGACGAGTCGCCCATAGTGCACTTTCGGGGGTATAACCCAGAACAAGACCGGAGATGCGCAGGAAAGCTATTTCTCAGGATACTGTATGAGCTAGCTAATAGTGACCTTTTCAGAAAACCTTAGAGAGGAAGAGAAGATTTGATACAGGCTGCAAGTATATTGTAGTGTCATGTTCCATTGCAGACTTCTCCAGGATGTGCTTTAAGGCTTATTCATACCAAGTGCAACATGATTGTGATTTATTGGGTGAAGAAGATAAATTTGCAGCAATGTTTGCCATTCACATCAGGGGAAAAGCAAAAAAAAAAAAAGTGATGTGCCAGATTTATGAAAGAGAATACATTCTAAACAGTGGAAAATAACGTGCTTTAGCAGCCTGTCAGTCTGGGATTAAACATGAATTCCAGTAATATTAACATATTTTAAGCTTTCACATTTTTAAGTAATAAAACTTAGGTTGCATATGTGAAACCTGTCCATTTCCTTTGAAATAAACTAAATTATTTCTTGTAATTTTTTGTTTTTATGACAACCGCTGCAGCTGTAGACTTGTTGCTAAGATCCCTAATTATTGCGCAAAAGATATGTAATAATTCCTTTCAATTCCTTTCATTTCACATTACCCCAGTGTCGGATCATTGCTGTTCAGCATCAGCTGTTATCTTGCATCAGGTGTGAAAGGTATTGATCAAAGCTGCAGGTTCTACATATTTTATTGCAGTACTGCTCAGATTTGTTTTTCTTTCTTGGCATCCTGAATGAACAGTGCTTTAGACTCTCGTGTGAGAGCTGGAGGTATTGAATTCATGTGGAAACTGGAATGTGAACAAGGTGTGGTTCAAAATGGGAACTCGTGCTGAGCCACTGAATGGATAAAGAGTGCAAGACTGAGCTAGAAAGCAGTGTGGAGCGTTGGTCAGGGCTGTGAATCTGTAAGTGGTAGGTTTGCGGGTTTAAATCCCAGGTGAGGTGCTTCTTCTGCACCTTTGAAAAAGATACTTAAGGAGAATTGCTCCTGTAAAATACCCATCGGTATACAGTACATGGGGGTAAAATTATATTTCTTTGGACACAAGAGTCATCCAAAAAAATAGTAATAAAATGGTGTAAACAATGCTGGACAAAGTATGTTACCAATTTCCACATTTAGTACTTTTTTAGAATTGTATAATGTTAGCATGCCCAGAGGGGTTGGGCCAGTTGACCTTGGACCCCTAGAAGTTTTTTTTCTCCTTACAGAGGAGTTTTTGGTTCCTCTCCTCCGTTGTCTTCTGGCCTTTTCTTTTTCTCTTTCTGTATTGTAACGTCACGTACTGTCACACAGCTTTGTCAAGTGCCTTGGGACAACCTTGTTGTGAAAGGCGCTATATAAAAATAATTTGAATTGAATTTACAGTAACACTTTATTTTAACAAAAAGACAAGGTATGATTATAGTACTTGTACAGGTACCACTATCATCTTAGGATGTTGGAATAGACAAGGAGTAAGCTGTGGATGGTATTTGTGAGGTAAATATTATGTGAGAGGCACATCTGCTGTACACTTTACAGGTCCTGAGTTTCTGTTTGGGATTAGTTGTGAGATTATGACCCAGCCTGTTTAATATTCAAATAATTTGAATATGCAGAGAAAATGAATAGAAACTAACAAAAAGAAGACCCGCTTTCTGTAATTAGGCGAGATGTTAATCTGAGAGAGTAATCAATGCCATATGTTCTGCCATTTTTTTCTTGCACCGCTTCCCTGTAGGAGTTAAGTGTTTGTGCTGTGGGGTTCAAACCAAACTAATATTGCATTATGAAGTGTAATAAGGTCACGTTAGCATTATCTTATCTCCTGATGGACATTCAAACAGGTTTATTCTGATAAGCCTTCCTTTTACCTTGCCTGAGCTCTGTTTCCTTACATCCCTTTGTCAAGTGGGCATCCTGTGCGCCAGACTTCCCAGGTGAAACCAAGAGAGATACAGTATGTTGTGTTTATGTCTGCCTTATGGAATGGCAGTACAGTAAGTGACTGAGCAAATGAAATTACATTGTCTGGCATTTAACAAATTTAGCTCTGTTTTAACTACCACTTACTGCCTCGCCTGACATGTGAAGCAAGATTGAAGTCTATTGAAAGTGCAGCCACTGCTTTCATTGAAAATCATTGCACTTTGCAGCTGGACTCATACAGGTTTATAGAACTATGAGAATTTCCCCATGCTTGATCTGCATTTGTGGAAGTAGCGTCAGGTTGCTGCCTTTTAAGCTTAATTTGAGGTATAGTATGTTTCAGGCTGGGAGGATAGACAGTTCTTCTCATTCTTGTCAAGGACAGCCAGCAGCCATATCACCTTGCCACTGACAACTGGCGACCCACTGGAGCTTAGCAGTATGAGCCTGGCCAGTACCTGGATGGGAGACCTCCTGGGAAAGCTAAGGTTGCTGCTGGAAGAGGTGTTAGTGGGACCAATAGGGGGCGCTCACCCTGCTGTCTGTGTGTGTCCTAATGCCCCAGTACAGTGACAGGGACACTATACTGTAAAAAGTCCTTCGAATGAGACATAAAACCAAGGGTCTCTGTGGTCATTAAAAATCCTTGTCCGTTTTTGAAAAGAGTAGGCAGTCTTACCCCGGTAAATGTTCAGTGCCAAATTTACCATTACCCTTTGATGATTGACTTCACTGAAAAGAGCAAAACAACATGTGGGGTGCCGACAAGTGACAAAAAGAACAAGATTTTTGGAGAAATTTGATTTTGTCACAAAAAAATAAATACTTCATAGAGATATCACTGATAGAAGCATATGTTTCAAAGGTTTAGGATATTATGAGCTGGATTATGTGTGTTACGGCTCAAGTTCGACTCAAGTGTAGAGAGAGGAAAATAATAACCCACTTTACTGTGGATGATGGTTTCTGATTTTGAAGGTTTTGGTATGCATCCATTCTATACTTCTGACAAATAAAACTGATTTCATGCAAATATAACTCATTCCTGTGTGTCCAGGCAATCTCTTCTTCTCCAAGCAGCTTTGGAGAGGGAAACAACACTGTCCCAGATTGTCTCTGAAGGGCGACAGTCTTCTTTAGAGTTTCACCCTCTGTATACCTGAGGGGTTTGAGGCCAGAAATTAAAATGTTGTGTCTAAGAGTTGCAAAAATCACAGAATACACTGTATGCTAATTCTGCTACTTCAGAAGTAAGCACTTCAAATTAAGCTTACCTTGTAATTAACTTATCTTACTGAAAACGACTAAATACAAAAAACATTAAGATTTCGATGCAGGTTTCTATTGTAAGTTTTAAATGATAAAATCCTGTGGTGGAACAAAAACAGAAAAGTTAAATAATTGCTTGTTTTCAATAATTACCTTTGTTTTACCTACAATCGCTATTTTAGCATGGTGCAGATTCTGACAGATCTACCGGGGAGACTTTTCTTATCCTAACAAAAATTAGTCTGTCACTCAAGATAAAATAGTTAATTCTTTTTGATGCACATAGAATTCTGAGAAAAACAGATACGACACATGCATCCCTCTAATACTCTTCACACATAAATGAATTTTGACAGCATTGCACAAGCATTGTATTAAAACAGAACATTACCTCTGGTTTCAGGTATTTTTTAAATAATCTTAGAGATTTCTTGTTATTTCCTAAGAACAATTTTAAAAGCTTTAAAAAGGTGTATTTAATTTATCACATAAATAGCA